CATTTCATCCATCAGGCAGCCCCAGCAATGAGAATAGGTCCTGGCACACAGAAGTCACTTTCTGAGTGCCTATGTGCTGAATAAAGAAATAAATGGAGGCAGAATAAGTTCCTTGGCACCAGAAACATCTCAAAATGCTACATGAAATATAAAAACCTTTTTAAAGTGCATCAGTGAACAAACAATTTAGTGTGATATCTTTAGAGGCTTAATCTAAATGAAAATAGGAATCCAGAGAAATAAGAACAGCTTTGAAGCTGGGTTTTGCCTTGAGTACATTTGCCAAAGCTGACAAGATTGAGACGCTATTGCCCTAGCCTTCCATGGTGATGAGACAAAAAGGGCATACCCAAGAACTTCTCTAGGTAGAAATTTTATTGGGAGAACCTCACCCACCACCGCTGCATAAAGCTGAGGTTTTAAAAGCCTCACCTGTACAGTGAGGCGTAATAGAAAGAAACTTACCCATCTAGATACTCAGGAAAATTTGCCTGTTTTGAATCTGGGTTACTGAGTTGGAAAGAAAAAACAAAAACACTCCCCAAAATCAAACAGCAAACCAGTGTTCTCTCATGAGAGAAAGTGTCTGAGTGTGTTGAGTAGAGAAAGAAAAGATGTTTTGTTTTTTCTCTAATACCCACAAATGTATTTATTACACAACTGGCCTTGCAGAATGATGGAGAAAGGAGGGGTTTTTCAATACATTTTTCTGAAATAATTGTTAACCTATATGGAAAACAATTAAGTTTGACTTCTCTGTTATGATATGTAGAAGATTAAATTCAGATGGATTTAAAATATATAAAAACAAACATACAAAGAGTTTTTAGAAAAAATATACTATCCTGAGATAGGAAAATATTTCCTAAATAATATACAAACGTTGCATATATCAAGAAAAGAATGTTAATTTTAATTATACTTAAAGTTAAGATCTTCTTAATTTTTAATTCTTTGGCTTTTTGTTTTCTGGGTTTTGGTTTTGTTGGTTTTTTCAGTGCTGAGGATCAAATGCAGGCCTTGCACATACTAAGCAAGCACTCTACCACTGAGATACACCCCCAGCTCCTTAATTTTTAATTCTTCAAGAAAGTGGCACTAGAGGTGTGGCTCAATTAGAAGAGCACTTGCCAAGCAAGTACAATATCCTGAGTTCAAACCCCAGTAGCACCATAAATAAATAAAAAAATAAATAATAGTGGTTACAAACTAGAAAATGATACTTGCAAACAAATAAGGACCAGGGCAAAATCTCTGGTCCTTGAAAATAAACTTCACAGAAAGAGAAATTTATAGCCAGTACACATGAAAAGATGTTCAGCACTACCAATAATCAAGGAAACACAAAGAATTAGTTACTATTTCATACCAGTAGATTAGCAAATTTTTTAGTCCAACAAAATTAAGGAGTGGCATAACTGCAGCATTAATGTAATACTAGTAAGAGTATAAATTAGTACAATAACCACGAAAGACAAGTTTTCTTGTTCTAAAAGAACTAAAGTTATCAGCAATTCTTCTCCTCAATGCAAACTCAAGCAACTCTGGCACACGTCCCAGGAGAAATAGATGGGAAGGTTCATAGAACAAAATAGTTTTTGTTGCTATTGTTGTGGTGGTGGTGGTGGTGGTGGTTTTGGCAGTACTGGGGTTTGAAACTCAGGGTCTCACACATGCTACGCAGGTACTATACCACTTGAGCCACTCTACCAGCCCTGTTTTGTGTTGGGTTTTTTTGAGATAGGGTCTCATGAACTATTTGCCTAGGCTGGCTTCAAACCATGATCCTGGTCTCTTCCTCCTGAGTATCTAGGATTACAGGTGTGAGCCACCATCTAGAAGCTCTATTTGTAATGATGAAAAAAAGAAATAGCCCAAAATGACAATCAGCAATGGGGAGGATAAATGATGTTATAGTCATATGGTGAATTCTTATATACCAATGAAAAATAGTGAATTAGATCTACACCCAATAATTTGGATGAATCTCAAAAGCATAATTTGCTTTTGACAAGGAAAAAAAGCTAATAGCAGAAGAATGCATGTGTTATTATTCCATTTATATAAAGCACACAGTGATGCAAATCCATGTATTGTTCAGAGATGAAAATATATGCAGTGAAATTATAAAGGAAAAGAAAACACCATGAGCAAACAGAGATTTATTAAAAGGGAAGGAAACAGAAGGAAGAGACAAGTCAGGAGGTTTAAAGGTAGTGGTAATGGTCACTTCTTAAACTGAGTGGTTTTATGTTGTTATTCTTTTATCTAAGAATCTATTCTTTTATCTAAGGTAGAGTCTATGAGCCATTGTATATCCTCAATACTTAATTAAAACACTTAAGAGAAGATGAAAAAGAAATGGCCAGAGTAAATCATGAAACTTCAGGGACAGGCTGAGATAAGCACTAATGAGTTGGCTTGGGACCAGGAGGGCCTGGAATCATGAGGGTTCAGATCTGCCTGAAGCTCCTTCTTAACTTGGTTCCACCTGGGTGGAGGCACTGACTTTCTGCAACTCTGTTTTTTCACTTGTTGAATGGGGTTAATAATGCATACTACACATCAATCTTCTAGAGATGAGAAGACAGTGGGTATGATAGCACCTTGTACAAATACAAACCCTATACCACACAGTGTAAGGTGGTGGTGTTACTCTTGATGATTTCATATATGCTGGACAAAGAACAGACAACTACATCCTATGAGTCAATCCTAACTGACCCCTATGACCCAGCTTACTGAAACAGATGGTGGTGTTGCTGCTGTTCTAGCTTCACGGGAGTACTGGCCACAAGATTATAGGATTAGTATCTATGTGCAGGGAGCAAAGGGGAGGAGCCTCAACTAAAGGAAGAGGAGCACAGAGCCACTCCTACTTCACAACCTTCAGGTGAATCATCATGGGTCATCCTCAGCAAAGGGGTCCATTGAAAAGACCCCAACTCTGAACTTTTTCCTCTCCTGGGAGCCCAGACCATGTTCAAAAATAAGCTCAAAGTGTTTAATGCCCTACTTTAAATCAGTTGGAGCAATAAAAGTTAGCCAGTCTGTACATGTGACCACACCCAATTCCACCTTATGACTGTTGCTGCTGCACCCACCCAAATCCATGGTAAAAACTACTTCCCTCTCCTGGCCCAGGGCTGGGGGACCCTTAAAAGTCATTTTCCCATGCAAACAAAAGATTTGCTATTTGGCTTTTTGTTTGTTTGTTTTACTCTTTCAATCCATATTCCTTGTCCCCCTCCACTGCTGCAGGGAAGCAGCTAAAGAACATGCTTGTATATTTACCTTCTCCTCTCCAACTGCCTGGCCTGCCCACCTACCAGAGCCCTCTAGAAATGTAGGGCTGAGAGCCTCACCTGAGCAAGTGCTCCCTCCAGACTGTCTGCCCCTTGAAACAACTCCCCCTAAGGCAAGGCTGACAAACTCCATGGTCTTCTTGCCCCTACAGGTAAGGAGGAGAGGGTAGAGTTCAGATTCTGTTTGTCTTTGTAAAAGCCTTTCCTTCTCTGGCTTGCTTATAGTAGGTGTGTCTTACATGAAGTTGGGTTGACACATAGGAACCAAAAGAGCACCCTACCCTGATATTCCCTGGGCACCCAAGTCCTGTCTCCCTCCACAGAGGAAGGGCTTCCTGACCACCAAGGTTGTGACCCCCTCCCCAGCCCAAGCCCAGTCACCTTGTTACCCCTTCCCAGGAGCTCAAAAAAACCAACCCCAAGTCTCCCTCTCCACCTCCCAGCCCCTGTGTCTTGCTCTCTTCCCACAAGAGGGCGCTCAATCCGCACCCCAAATTGTTGGCCACTGGCTGTGCAAGGGAGTGAAAAGGCATACTCTTCCAGAGGGAGTTGAAAAGAGTCAGGCTGCGCAGAAGGGAAGCTCAACCCAGACCTTCCTGCTGCAGTGAAGGAAGGCAATTAGAGAAGGAAAGGCTTCAAGAAGGTGCGGCTCCCTGCTGTTTACTAATCTCTACCCAATGGGGAAAGAAGTCAACTCAATTCCACAAAGTTGGGCCTGGAGGGAGCTGAGTAAGAAAGAAGGAAGTGGTCTCCATCGCTTCTCTGAGGTGAAGAATCACCACCTCCTCTTCCTCTCCTCTCCAACTCCCCCCCAGTCCCTCCCCAGGCAGGGACTTGCCTAGCTTAGTGGGCCTATAGGGATGAATGCTGAGGAAATGCAGACACACATCAATGCTTTCCCCACACCTCCTGCCTGAAAACACTGAGGCAGACAATGGACAGCAATTCAGACAATCAGTCATCTGGGTTGGGGGAGAAAGGCTCAGCTTGGCTCCAGTAGAATAGCCAGATGATTCATTCTGCTGAAGCTGCAGGGACAGGCTGGGTCAATATTGACAGGAAGGTTTGAAACTGCATTTGGCCAGACCCAGGGACCCCCACCAGGCCCTATTTGTAAGCATCTCATGAGTCACATGTTCATGTTGCTGCTACACCTCAGACCACCACCCCAACAAAAAAGACCCCATACCTGAAAGCAGGGGAAGACTCCTAAGTGTGCCCCCCGCCCCGCCACCTCCAACTAGGACATGAGCAGCTGGAGTAAATGCAGTCATTGTGCATCCTTGGTGGTCTCAGGCATCTTATATGTGCCCTCTCTGTCCCCCCCCCCATTCTCCAGAAGGATGTAGATTGGCCCCACCCCAGGGCCTATCTAGCACTTCCCCTCTCACCATACCCAGAGCAAAGTATGTCTTCGGGGAGCCTGTTGGGACTATCTCCACCCCACTTCGAAGGACCCCAAATCCCACTCAACCCAGCCCAGCCACCATTTCCTTCTCCAGTCACTCTACTAGAAACCACTTGAGCCTTTGCTTAAGATGGCTTTGCCAAGAGGGGACATCTTTTTTAATGCTTGTAAGCTAGCAGTGGGTCAATGACCCACTCTCAGAGGTTGACAATGAGGAGACTGTGATGGCTGACACAGCACCAGGCCAAGGAGGAATCAGAAATCATGGGACAGCCAGGACACAATAGTAGATTTGACCCAAAAAAAATATTTATTGTACAATTACCCACCACTGGATTTGACTCAGACAGGCCCTCTGGAGGACTTCTCCACCTTCCCAGTTTATTTGAGGGCTTCATTGTAGATCAAAGCCAAGGCACCCAAGAAGGTGACATACTCCTGGAAGTTCACTTCCTGGTCCTTGTTCCGGTCCAAGTCATCCATTAGCTTTGAAATTTCCGCATCCTGCAGCTTCTAATGCGTTAGAATGAGAAGTCCAGACTCAATGGTGATGAACACTCTAGATCCTCTCCTTTTCCCCCTCCCAGGCAGCTCTCACACTCAAATGGCTCTGCTTATTTCACCAAGAAGGGGTTCCACCTTGGGTTCACCAGAACTTTACTTCTTCTCAGCCCCAGGCTCCTCACTCAGGGGGAAAGGACAGTGGACTGAGGGCATCTTTATCCCCTCAAGGGAAGGGATCTTCAGCTCAATATGACAAATGGAATTCTAGCCAGATAGACAAGAGCTAGGAAGAGAGTCTGGGAAAGAGGCTACTCACTGGGCCAATGGTCAGCTCCTTCTGGATCAGCTCCTTCAGCTCCTTCTTGCTCAGGGTGCTCTTGTCACCCTCCTTTGCAGAGTACTTGTGGAAGATGGCCACAAGGAGGCCAATGGCCTGATCCAGGGGGCATGCCATGACTGAAGGTTGGGCTTGCAGCTGGTGGCAGAGGGGCTGGTCAGTACAATGTGCAGCAGGGACTTCTTGCTTACCACACCCAAGGGTTCAGTCCTCACTAACCCCCCTCCCTTTCACTACTGCCTGAACCACCCAGTCTCATACCACACACAGGTGACTGCCCAGGGCGTGGAAGGGGAGGGAGGGGCAGACTGGGGCCCAGGAGCAGTGCCTGAGGGAACCAAAGCAAAAGAGAGGTGGTTCAAGGGTTGTAAGACGAAAACCAGGCCAGTAGCTTGGGGCAGGCTGTGGACTGTCCTCCAGGGCTTCCAGAAGAAATTGGTGACTATAACTGGGTAGGGGAGGGGAATGGAGGCTGTATATGCACCTATACAGCTTAGCAGGACCACACACTGTGGCAGTAACACACCCAGACACACCCTCCCTGCACCCCAGATACGCACACTTGGGGAGTCGCCCTATCCAGATGCCTTAGCCGGGGGCCTGCCTGGCACAGCCGGGCCACTCCTGACTCTCCCTCCCGGCCTGGAGATCCGCAGGCAGACAGGGGCCCAGTCTGGATCCCGAGGCTGACAACAAGCTGAGTACACCGCGGTGGGGCTCAACCCGCTGCCCAAGCGCGGGCGGACCCTAGGAGGTCCAGGGCTGACGAAAACTCACCGCACCAGAGGCAGAGAGGCGAGCAGGGAGCGGTCCAGGCAATGAGCTGTGTCGCAGTCCAGCTGGCCTTATAGCGGCCGGTATCCCGGAGGCCGGCTCCGGGAGAGCCCCCTCCCCCCCCCGCCCACGTCCCGCCCCGAGCCCCACCCTGCGCCCGCGGCTTGCACAACACACGCACCCTAGTCCCCCTCAACTGTCCACGCCTCCCATCCGGGACTGTTCCGGGTTGGAACCGAGATGGGGGAGCCTAGTAGAGCACAAGGAGACCTAGCTGGAAACCAGTGCAAACGGTGACATGGAGTATCCCCTAATTTCCAGAGTTCAGGCTGTTCTTCCAAGCACCCTAGTGATATTGCACGGGGGTGAGGGGGCGTGGTCACTCTTTCTTCCTCTGTCACCTGCCTGCCTGAACATGAATGAGTCCCTAACGTAGCATCCTTGTGAGGAGAGGAAAGGGGATCTTACTGGATGCCAGCGACCCCCCCTCCCCATTCAGAAGGTTACCAGAGTCACCTCTACATGAAGGAGAAGGAGCAGCCAGTGGTCTACTAGATAAGATTTAAAGGATCTAAAACACCCTCTCTACTAACAATAAATTCCTACCAACGCCAACGCTCCCCTCCCCCCACTGCCTAGAATTCCACCCTTTAAAGCAGCTGGCACATTAATGTGCACACACGAGCCAAGCCCTGCAAGCATCATTAGTTATTCACCTTGAGTGAAAAGTTTCCAGGGTCCTCTCCTGAGGAAAACTTTGAAGGGGGGAGAGAGAAAGCACTGGCCCTCAGAGACAATAGGGTCAGGAGGAGGGTGCTGCTGAGGTGGAATTGAGGAAAAGGAAAAGGGGTCCCAAGTGAAGGTCACACTACCCTTGTTTACCAGTGCTGAGGGTGGCCTTCTATAATCTACCACAATTAGACCCACTCAGAGCCACACCTCAATCACTCCAGCCTCCTCACTCCCAAGGCACTTTCCCTCTTAGCTTTCTCTGCATTTTTGCCTCCTCGTGGGAGGCATGCAAAAGCCTGGGCAGCTTCCCCATTTTCCAGGAGTACAAAACTGAACCAGGGTGAGCTCAACAAGGCCCACACTGAGGAAAGACAGCAATGGGGTAAGAGCCCAGGACCCAGAGGCTGCCTCTGCCCACTCAAGAACATCTATCTGTGTTCCCCTGTGCCCACCAAAGGGATAAGACACCTTTCAAGCCAGCCCTCCGACACTTGGGATGGAAAAAGTCTTTATTTTCTCTGCTGGAAGGGTCCATCTGGGAGGAGCAAGAAGGCGGAGGAGAGTGCCAGAGATGGTCTGTGGGAGGAGTTGCAGAAGTTGGGGGCAAGGGTAGAAGTGAGCCCCTGTCATTTGTTGTCCTCCAGGAAGAAGTCATTGTAGGCCATGCACAGCGTGGTCAGGAACACCGAGTACTCCTTGAAGTCAATCTCTTGGTCGCTATTTTTGTCCAGGCTCTTCATCAGGTCATCAATGCTGCTCTCCTTCATCTTCTGTAAGGCCCAAGTGGAGAGACAGCTCAGCAACCTCTCCTGGCCTTATCCCACCACTACAAGACAGCCTCAGAGGATTCCCAGCTGATTTAGTGCCCCTATGAGCAGCCCGACCCCCAGTTTAGCCCCAACTTACATCTAGCATAGGGCCTGGCATCAGGTAGGGGTCAGTGACCTGAGTCCTGACTCCAAATAATTACAATAGAAAGGCTAACCCAGTTTCCCTTTCTCTTATGCTTTTCCCCCATCCAAAGAAATAATAATCAACATCTAATAAAAATAGCTAGAGGACCCCATAGCACTGAGCATCACTCAAGTCTCAGATTTGGTCTGTCCTCATTGTAAGGGCTAGTTGGGAAGAGACCTAGACAACACGTCGTTCCATGAGATCAGTACATGGGAGCTGAGAAGCCACTATGTGCCTCCCCTGCTAGGAGAGCTGGGTTAAGACACAGCCTGGTGCCCAATTGTACTCTATCTGTTCCATTGCCCTCTCACTATAGCTTCACCAAGAGGATGGAACCAGAGCCCTAGGAGTGAACCAGGAAGAAAATACACACGGGCAGATCCTGCCCTCCCCTCTTCATTGCCCTTAGCTCCAGGTCTTCCTAGGATACCAGACATATAGAGATGGAAACTGCCTCTACAACACAATCATAGTCCCCAGACTGCACGCCGCTCTAGCCAGGCCCTCCCCTAGGCCTATGTCCCCTAGTAATTAGCCCCTGATGGGCCAATGGCTCCTTCCTCTGCCCTCATTAACTCGAGGATAGCAAAAGCCTGGCAGGGAGTCTAGAGAGAAGGCCAGGGGACACTGGCAACTGCTTCACCCCCTGCCTATGGGGACACACTCTGGGGGCCTTCTCTCTGGAGGGAGTCACCAGGGTACAGAATATAACAGAACACCCTCCCAACACCACCACCAAGTTTTATTATAAACAAAAAAGGAAGGCCAAACAAAAAACAAAAAAGGAAAGCCTGGAATTCCAGCTCAGTCTCTCACTGGACAATTTCTCTAATCTTAATTTTTTAACCATAAAAACAATAATATAATGTGCACCTCATGGTGTCACCTCTGTTAGTCAACACTGTCTGAAGGGCCTGGCTGTGCTAGGCACACAGAAGAGAATCAGGGAGGATCCCTACCTGGATCCACAGCTGGACATGGATACCCCAGATCCCTTCTTCACCCAAGATTTTTAGCAGAGGTTCTCCCACCACTGTGACACCTGCCCCACCATCAAAGACTCCTTTACTTGGTTTTATAGTCCCACACAGTTTCAGCTCTCCTGCTTCCCAATGAGACCCTGACTCATTCCCCAACACAGACGTCTAGAGCTCTGCTGGCTCAAGATATTCATGATCAAGGGCAAAATAGTTTCTGCCAGGTATCGAGGGGGTGGGGGGAGAGGGAGGGAGAGGGGTGGGGGGAGGGGGGAGAAATGATCCAAGCATTGTATGCACATATGAATAATATTAATTAATTAATTAATTAATTAAAATAAAATTTGAGAGCAGACTTCCTGCCAAGAAGCTTAGGAGGACAAAGGAAATAATATTTCTCTAATTTTGGTTAAGAACTGAACTTGCCTTATGCTAAAATAGTTGTTCTTTGTAGTCGTCAGTTATCTCAGCGAAATCACCATCTATTGATTTCCATAAACTCTTGGGTAAATGTTCAGTTCTTTACCTACTCATGAAAGGGCTTGAGCAGAAAAAAGAGTCAAGCATGGATACCTAGAAATGGTTGCCTGATTGATACTGAGTTTTTTCTAGAACCCATGCCCTTCAGCTTTAGGATTTTAAGTCAGAGGCACGGCTGCTAGCAAATGCAGCAGAGCAGGCTCCTGTGGCTAATGCACAGGTAGGAGCCAGAGCATCTGTTCTCCCACCAAACCATTCTCAGTGTATGTGATGCAAGAAGGCAAGGGTCTGTAGGGGGCAGAGCTTCCACTTGTCAATTTGAAATCAGTGGCCTTCAGTTTCAATGAGACAATA